TGCAAAAACTGCCCCGAACTGTAACTTCTGTAACTTTCCACTGCCCACCCCAAACCTCTAAAACCACCTCCTGTCCCACTGCCCTGCACTGACTCTATTTTCAGACTCGGCCCGCCCACACTCAGCTGAATAAACAGCCACGTTGCTCACAGAAAGCCTGTTTGGGGGGTCTCTTCTTTCAGAGTGTGCATTTAACACTTGGGAAGCAGCAAGTTAGCTGGTAACACAGGTTTTGTGAATAGCAAATGGTCAGTAAGTATTACTGACCAATGAGAAATCCTGGTATTGACTTTCCTTACGACCTTTCATCCCGTCACGCACTTCATACTCAGTGGTTGTGAAATACTCTGTGACTATGGCATGGACAAATCAAGTGGGAAGTAAGAATTAATGTAGAATCCCCATCCACAAGTCCAGCTTCTTGGGTTGCTTGTGAAGCTTCCTCATTGCCCCAGCCCAACTCTTCAGCATCTTCCTCTAGGAACCTCCATTCCAGGCACACTGGGAGTGGCCTGTGCACTACCTCCCAGCAGCCACGTCCTGTTCTTACCTTCCGAGTTATGCTCATGTGACACCCCATGTGCTAGGTTCTGTCCACCACCCAGAGTCCTACCTCCTTTTTTACACTTCTGTGATTGCCCTCACCAGAAGTGATCATTATCACTCAGCATACTCTTGAACACTGTCATCTGGGTTCCTATCCTCATTCATTCATTTGTTCAACAAATATTTATCGAATGTCTACTAAATTTCAAGTTTTGTTCCAGGCAGGGGATATAATAGTGAACCAAAGAGCAAAAATGTTTGCACCATGGTAGAAAAGACAGACAACAAGCAAGATAAATGTAGCACACACACAGCATGCCAAATGTCAGTACGTGCTAGAGAGAAAGTGGAAAGCAGGAAATTTACTGAAACTTTGGACAGGGTAAACAGAGAAGATCTCACTGAGAAGATAATTTCTTTTTTCTTTATTTTATTTTATTTTTAGAAGGAGTTTCGCTCTTGTTACTCAGGCTGGAGTGAAATGGCATGATCTCGGCTCACTGCAACCTCCGCCTCCTGGGTTCAGGCAATTCTCCTGCCTCAGCCTCTTGAGTAGCTGGGATTACAGGCACGCACCACCGTGCCCAGCTAATTTTTTTTTTTTTTTGTATTTTTAGTAGAGACGGGGTTTCACCATGTTGACCAGGATGGTCTCGATCTCTTGACCTCGTGATCCACCCGCCTCGGCCTCCCAAAGTGCTGGGATTACAGGCGTGAGCCACTGTGCCTGGTTTTTTATTTTTAAGACAGAGTCTTGCTCTGTTGCTCAGGCTGGAGTGCAATGGCATGATCACAGCTCACTGCAACTTCTACCTCCTGGCTTCAAGTGATTCTCCCTGCCTCAGCCTCCTGAGTATCTTGGATTACAGGTCCCTGCCACCTCACCGGCTAATTTTTGTATTTTTAGTAGAGACAGGGTTTTGCCATGTTTAGCCAGGCTGATCTTGAACTCCTGACCTCAGGTTATCCACCCGCCTCGACCTCCCAATGTGCTGGGTTTACAAGCATGAGCCATTGCGCCTGGCTGAGAAGATAATTTCTAAAGGAACTGGGGAAGTTGAGAGAGCAAGCCATGGAGGTGGCCGGAAAGCTCTTTCCTCCCCACACAAGCACAAAGGCCCTGAGGTGAGGATGTAGCTAGAAGATTAGAAGAACGACAAGCAGAGTAGTGCTGGTGGAGCCTCGGTGCATGGGGAGGGACAAGAACGAGTGGAAGGGGGTGGTTGTCATGAAGATCCTTATAGATTATAGTCAGGATTTTGTTTTGTTTGTTTTTTTTTTGAGATAGTTTCACTCTTGTTACCCAGGCTGGAGTGCAATGGCGCGATCTCAGCTCACCACAACCTCCGCCTTCTGGGTTCAAGCAATTCTCCTGCCTCAGCCTCCCGAGTAGCTGGGACTACAGGTGTGCACCACCATGCCCAGCTAATTTTTGTATTTTTAATAGAGACGGGGTTTCACCTTGTTGACCAGGATGGTCTGGATCTCTTGACCTTGTGATCCACCCGCCTCAGCCTCTCAAAGTGCTGGGATTATAGGTGTGAGCCACCACGCCCGGCCAGGATTTTGGTTTTTATTCTGAGTGAGATGGGAAGCCACTTGAGGGTTTTGAGAAGTGGCATGAGCTGATGTATTTTAAGACTCCTTCTGCTTGCCTTGTTGAGAATAGTCTGCCAAGGTGGGGAGGTGTTGCACAGTCTAACCCAGGTGAGAAGTTGGTGGCTCAGGCCAGGGGAATGGGAGAAGTGATCCAATTCTGAGTCTATTTTCATGATGGAGCCAATAGGATTTCCTGAGGGGCTGGAGGTAGGGTGAGAGAGAATGGAGTCAAGGGTGATTCCAGGGCTGCCGTTAACTGGAATGGAGAAGATGCAGAGGGAGCTGGTTGGGGGAGTGGGGTTGGAAGTGGACTCTCAAGAGCTCAGCTTTAGATATGTGGATCTTGAGGTCCTCATGAATTGCCCATGTGCAGATGCCAGGAAGGCTGCAGCTTTGGAGGGACAGGATGCTTTATGCCTCATGAATCCCCCAGCCTGGTATGCTCATTGCACGAATCAATCAATTAACCAATCAGTGAACAACAGTGAAGTTCTTTCTGACTAGAGGTTGTGGGGGGTAATGATGAGATTTCTATCTCTAGACTGGGTTGATGTGGGGGGCAATGATGAGATTTCTATCTCTAGACTGGGTTGATGTGGGGGGTAATGATAAGATTTCTATCTCTAGACTGGGTTGAAAGAGAGAAACTATTTTATTTTATTTTATTTTTTCCAATTTTTTTTCCTCTTTATTTTCTTTTTTTAAAGATGGGTTTCACCATGTTGGTCAGGCTGGTCTTGAACTCCAGACCTCAGGTGATCCGCCCGCCTTGGCCTCCAAAGTGCTTGGATTACAGGCGTGAGCCACTATGCCCGGTCTCATTAATTTATTTTTGAACAGCCATAAATAAGGTGATATTTCTGAAAATGGATAGATGAGGAGGAGTAAGGACCAGGGACAGACATCTTCTCCATTCCAATGTTAGCACCTGTGAAGTCTTAGATCACTAAATGTTCATTTTTATCAGTTTAGGAAGGGCCCATAACCTCTTCCTCATTCTCCCTTGAAGATGGCATCAGGCTTCAGAATGTGTGCTGCTGAAGGCATTATTACGATTGTCTACGACAGTGCCCCGTTTTATGCGATATGCTTATAATAATAGGGGTAGATTTATTAAGGCATATGAAGATACATCAAGACTCCAGAGACGAAATATCTGGGTTTGAATCCTGAATCTACTACTTATAAGTCATCAGCCTTTGGGCAAGTTACTTAACCTCCCTACGTTTCAGTTTTCTAATCTGCAAAATGGGAATAATATTGGGACGTATGTCATTGGATCGTTGTGAGAATTAAATTGTTGATATATTGAAGCATTTAGAATTATCTGGCACATAGTGAATCCTATATGTATAGCTACTGTTTCTATATCAAGCACTGTCCAATATATATTGGGTGCCATGAACATTGAACTTGGCATAATCCCTGGCCACGGACCTACTGATGATGATGGAGATAGATTACCTCATGAGGAAGGAAGAAAATGAGTTTAGAAAGCTCACTCCACTCTGAACTGCTGCTGAGAAGTTCAGAAATGAACCAGAAATAGTTCTAACCTCCCACATAAGGTCCAGCCTGATTTCAACCTAGCACCTGAGGAGCAAAGTAAAGTTACCGAGGGTCTCAGTGGCCATAATTTCAGTATCTGAGCAATTGCAACATGGAACAAGAAACGATAATGGTGGGCAAGTTTTCTGGATGCCAGGCCATGAAGTGCCTGTGCTCACAATTTCTTAGTGTATTCTTGAAGAAAAACAAGAAAAGCTCATCTCATCCCACATCTGAGCCCTGCTGGGAACATACAGATGAGGACAAATATGATGATGGGCTGGGAAGGCTCTTCCCGTCCTGTTTTGTGCTGTCAGGTCAGGAGAAGCGACGGGAGGGGAAGAGGAGTGTGTGTGTCAGCGATATTAGGAGGCAGGGATGTAGTTTCTTGTTTTATGTTGTTGTTACTTAAATATTAAAGTTGTGGCCTTCTGAGACTCTCAGTTAGTTTGCTTGGCCACTTAGGTGCTTGTTAGAAACCAAGACTATTTCTCTGGGATGACTGATTCATTATTGGATGAAGGAATGAGGCAAGCCGTCAATCATGCAGACACGCCATGAGTGCTCACGATGTGCAAACAACGGTGCCACGCTGTGGAGACACTTCCCCCAGCTGAGGAATAGTTCTATCGTGTTATATGCTGATTTAGGGGAAAAAGTTACTTTCATAGGAGGATCGCCAAAGAAACCAAGATATTTTTAAGCAGTTCATTAAGTTGGTGCGAAAAGTCTTACCTGAAAAAACATAAATATTTAAAAAAGAGATTCATTAAGTAATTAGGCCCAGATGAAACGCACGCATTTGAATCCTGCTTCTGCAAGTTACTTAATCTCCTACGTTTCTGTTTTCTAATTTGTAAAATGGGAATAATATCTGGTACCTCGCTGGGCCATTGTGAGAATTAAATTGTTACTATATTAAAATGCTGATTAAGTCATTGTGTGTGCCAAGCACTGTGCTGAAAGCTGGGAATACCAGGCTATGCCATGAGGGAGCCTACTGCCCACCACAGGAAGGGAACCAGGGAGCCACATCCAGCCTAATGATTGACAGGGTGGGCCCACGGAATGAGCACCTCACCCAGCATTGAGAGTTCAAGGATGTTTGCCCTGAGTCACAGAACAAGTAGGAGTTGCTAGATTTGGCACAGAGGTGAGGGGCAGAACTCGATGATCTCAACAAGCCCTTGACGAAGCTCTGTCATTCCAGTGGCCTCCTGAGATCAAACCCTATTTTAGAAACTGAACCTGGTGTTAGGCCATGAACATTAATTCACACTGACTGGTCAGCCCGGGCAGGTGCTGTCACTCGAGAGCCTTGGGGTTCACTTTGTGCCACAGGCTGAGTTTGGGCTGGCGAACGCTCTTCTTGGGAGAGTGGAATTTAATTGGTGCCTTATTAAGGATGACTCCTGGGCCTCCTAAAGTGGAAACCACTCTAACTCCTAAATGACGGGCAAACACAAACCTGAATCACACCCCGGACTGCTTTGGCTAATGGAGATGCCTGGCAAGTACAATATGTTTGGGGCTTTCTTTCCAGTATCAAATGGTGGGTAAAATGGGACATTTGCCCAGTGAAAATCAGGCCTAGATGCATGGGAACAGGCTTAGCTGCTGCTTGTGTCAACAAGAAGGCTTTTTGTCTGTGCGGAAGTGAAGAAATGCAGCTCACTTACCGGTCTGGCCAAACTTCAAAAATTCATGTTTTTTTTTCCTCCTCCCAGGAACACTTTGTTCCTGCTGATGGTTAAAAGGTGGCAGCTTTCATTTAGAAGTGCAGCAGGACGTATTGAAGTTAGAGAAAAGGAAGGGCTATGTGACGGAATGACTGAGTGCAGGACAGGTTCCCAGGGGATTACAAAATCTGCTTTTTATTCATGGGCTTTCCTGCTAAATGACTGAAATAATGAGGGTGGCAAGATGTAAGCTTATATCACCATTTTTTAAAGATCTGTGCTTTGGGATTCAGAGAAAGTACGAGTGCCTTGTGACCAAGGGGACCTGAGGTGGCTTCAGAGGCTGAGCTGACCTTGGGATTGGGGTCGGGCTTAGAAAGAGTGGGAAGGCAGTGCAGAGCAAGGCGGAGCAAAGGGCTGGGAAGGACAGAGCAGGTGGGGTGATCTGGAATGTGGCCCCTCTGAAGAGGGCCGCGCAGGATGGTATTGGCAGGCTATGACAGGGCTAGATTATGGAGAGCCTGGAAAGCTTGTCCAGAGAATTAGATTTTACTCAACAAGCCATGAGATGCCATCTTTCCAGGCCTTTGAGCAGGAACGGGAAATGATAGAAAGTGTGCTTCAGGGATCGTGGGCTTTGAGCAACTGAAGGGGTTTTACAGTCATGTGGTTCAGTGTTTCTCAGACTCTACTGGCGTGAGAATCATTGAGAATACTTGTTAAAATTCAGATTCTCATTTGAAAGTCCTGGTGGGTGGGGCTGGGAATCTGCAGGTGAACAAAGCCACTGGCCATCCTGATACCCGTGGTCTGAGGCCCACACTGGGCAAACACTGCTACCCCTTCGGTGAGCCCTGTCCGAGGGACCCACAGGGTACCGCTGAGCAAAGGAATCAGCCCTAAAACAAGTTTAGGCCCAGAGAGCTGGACGCTGACTTTGGACAATGACAGTTGAGTAGGAAGCTCTGTGCCCCTTTTTCTTCCTCTCCCTACACTTCAATCTTGGAGGACCCTAGAGCCTTGAAAGGCAGAAGGCCAAGGAAAGAAAGAAGTGGAGCACGCCCAGTGTGATATTCAGCCAGGACACCACTATTTTTTGAGCAGCACACTGGCTTTTCAAGGGAAAAGCCCTGCCTTGTAGCATTTACCCATTTCCATGGTGCAAATACTCCTGGTGTGGCCATCTCAGGCTGCCAATGTGACTGAATGCAGAGTTAGGAAGAGAAGCCCACAGTGGGCTCTTGTGAGCCAGGAGCCTGCTCCAGGAAACTACTGCCTGGAGCTGGAACTCAGACCCAAGCTGGGCTGGAGCGAATGATTTGAGTTGAGGACTGAGCTGCTGAACAGTGTATACAGCTGGACTGTGTTTCATTACTTAAAGTGACCATAGGGCTCCCAGAACTTTGGGAGACCAAAGTGGGCCTCTTGAGCCCAGGAGTTCGATACCAGCCCGGGCAACATGGTGAAACCCCATCTCTACAACAAAGACAAGAATGAGCCGGCCTTGGTGGTGAGCGCCACCAGCAGTCCCAGCTACTTGGGAGGCTGAGGTGGGAGGGTCACCTGAGCCCGGGAAGTCAAGCCTGCAGTGAGTCTGCACCGAGTGAGACCTGGTCTCAAAATAAGTAAGTAAAACTAATGTGACCACAGGAATTTCTGCTACTGCTCGAGTTTTCATCCACTGGTAAAGAGAAAAATGGAACAAATATCAGTTCAGGGATAGTGAGAAACCAAAAGTAAATTCACATTTTGTTTACATTCTAAGGATGGTGCCCGTTACTGTGAGAAATTAGACCCTGAAAACTGGTAAGATTTTTTTAAAAAAAGAATTACCATCAAAGGGAAATATAAAACTGAAAAGTATTTATGAAATCTGAGCCCCCAGATTGAAAACCAAGAATGTCAGGTATTCTGTAGTTAAAAGAGTTTGTTTTGGAGTTTTCTTTGGCGTTCCAAAGCAGATATCCTCAAAAGAAAAGCAGCTGTCTGATTAAAAAACAAATGAAACTCTGTACTCTGTTCAAAGATAGTACAGGAAGAACCAACCTTATAGGTACTCTATGAGGATTAAATAAACACACTTGAATGTGTCTGATACACAGATTAAGTTTGCTGTCAATTCTTCTGCTTTTTCTTCAGAGCCACATTTCCCCCCCCCTTCTTTTTTTTAAGACAGAGTCTTACTCTGTCACCAAGGCTGGAGTGCAGTGACATGATCTCAGCTTGCCACAAGCTCCGCTTCTCGGGTTCAAGTGATTTCCCCTGCCTCAGCCTGCCAAGTAGCTGGGATCACAGGGGTGCAGCACCGCACCTAATTTTTGAATTTTTAGTAGAGATGGGGTTTTGCCATGTTAGCCAGGCTGGTCTCGAACTCCAGACCTCAGGTGATCCACACGCCTCGGTCTTCCAAGGTGCTGGGATTACAGGCGTGAGCCACAGACCAGCACACGTTCACTTTCAGTTATGCCGGGTTATGTTCACTCCCTGTTGGGGAGCTTCATCGTGGTAATGGGTGCAAGACAGAACAATTCCTATTTCCAGTCTATTCCCGCCCCTCCTCTTTGGAGGATGAATGTCACCGGTGAACTTTAGCCTCAGCGGGAGAAGAACCTGCTAAGTCCCTGCGGCAGGTCGGGGACTGAGGAGTGATCTTAGCTGTTAAATGGGCTTCCAAGCGTCCTCCGCTAGCTGAACTCTTTGAAGCGTCCACACTTTGTCCCCAGACTTCCATTAACACGGTTTCTGCTACTAAACACAATCTGCGTGTAGCCTAAGCCACGGAGGACACCAGAACCACAGCTGCCCTCCGCCGCCATCCCCGGGGCCTGAGGCTTCGCATTTCCCACATTCAAACAGCAGGCTGCGAAGGCACCGGCCGCTCCCCCGGGCCGCGGCTGGAACCACAGGAGTCCCCGTCCGTCCTGAGTGCGGGCAGGAAGAGACTTTCTCCGCGTCTCCCAGCCGCGACTGCAGACCGTCGCTGCCCGCCTGCGGCGACACAGTCCTGCCTTTAGCCACTGGGTCGTCAGGACCTGGAATGTTCCAGGCTTCCGGGCAGTGCCCACTGCCGTTTCTTCGGAGGAAAAGATCCACTTTCAAGGGCAGGGTGGTGCCTGCGGCCAGCCTGGACCAGCGCAGAGGGCAGGGACACAGCCGCAGGGCACTGCGCGTCCGCCGCACACACCCCGTGGGGACACGGCCGGGGCCGCGTGGCCTCCACCGCGCGCTGTGATGACGCCGTCCTCACTGCCGCCGCCTCTGACGTTCAAACCCCTGCGCTTTTGGACTTTGCAGGAGCGCTTGTGATCAACAGCTCATCGAATCTGGTGTCGACATCGGTGTCGACGTGGTGTCTGGCGCCAGGAGACTGGATGGGATCACTAAAGGCGCGCGTCCATTAAGAAGAAAGACTCAAGCGGCCGGGCAAGGAGAGAAACAGCAGACTGCGAGCCGGACCGGGTAAAATGGCGGCAGGCTCTGCGCAGGCGCAGGCGCAGGCGCAGGAGCAGGTTTGACGCCTGCGGACGGACCGGATAGAGCGGGCGAAAGCCGACTGAGGAGACTCAATTTGTCTGGGCTTGCGTCTGCACTCGTCGTCTCCCACATGGTCTAGCGGTTAGGATTCCTGGTTTTCACCCAGGCGGCCCGGGTTCGACTCCCGGTGTGGGAACGCCAAGATTTTAGAATGCTGCTTAGGTAATTGAGATTCTCCCTAATTCTCAAGAGGTGTGTTTTTAGCCAAAACTGTAATTCTATTTCAAAAGACGCGGGACGCGTAGGGGCTGAAGGGAACTCAGGACCGACAGTAAGAGAGGGAGTGGGTCAAACGCACTCAGGCCCAGCCTCCTGGTGCAGGTGGCAGAAGGCACATAGCTGGCAATAGCCTGAAGTCAGCTTTTGAAATGACACATTAGGTCTGAGGTGAAGGAAAGAGAAGGAACCAAAATACACCTACGGGTTTTCCGCCAGTATTTTCACCTTGTACTGTGGACATGAGCAAATGACCGAAAAGTGCTCTTCTTTGAAAGAAACAGAGAAGATGCAATTTTAGAACATTATAGGGCCTTTTTTGTTGTTGCCAGGAGGATGCTGGGAGGCGGGAGAGGCATCACATGGCTTTTAAGTTACCTAAAGTGATTCTAGGACAGCAAGATTTCTAGAAAAGACATATGATTAAAGGTTGGGTAGTTCAATGTAAAATCTATTGCCTTTGTGATGCGGAGAGCTAACTAAACCAGTCTGGAAAGTGGGGAAGAAAATTAGGGTATAACAAATACTGAGGCTCCGGCCGATGGCAAAAAAGCCAAACCAAAACAAAACCAGCAAATGTTCCTCTTAACATATTTCTTTGACACACTGTGTTTTAAGAATTTTTGTGATATGTGAGATTAGAAGTCTTAGTATTGACATGTGACAGTTTGCAATTGTTACGAAAATTGGTGCCATCCTCCTGTTATTAGATGAGATTATCTAAAATGAAGACTATATTTAAATAAAGACTAAGAGACTAGAATCTTATCTAATAATAACATTCTTTTTCTTTTTATTATTTATTTTTTGAGACAGTGTTTCACCCATTACCCAGACTGCAGTGCAATGTTGCGATCTCGGCTCATTGCAACCTCTGCCTCCTGGGTTCAAGCAATTCTCCTGCTTCAGCCTCCCAAGTAGCTGGGATTGCAGGTGTCTGCCACCACGCCCGGCTAATTTTGTATTATTAATATTATTTTTAAAGACGGGGTTTCACCATGTTGGTCAGGCTGGTCTTGAATTCCCGACCTCTGGTGATCCGCCCATCTTGCCCTCCAAAGTACTTGGATACAGGCGTGAGCCACTACACCCGGCCTAATTTTGTATTTTTAATAGAGATGGGGTTTCACCATGTTAGTCTGGCTGGTCTCAAACTCCTGACCTCAAGTGGTCCAGCCACTTCAGCCTCCTGAAGTGCTGGGATTACAGGCGTGAGCCACTGTGCCCGGCCTCTTTATTGTTTGAGTGTTATTTTAGATTATTTTACTTTCAGATGATATTATTAGCCCTGCATCGGCCAGAGGCCCTGTAGGAAACTGATGACACGTCTTAGAGTGCTTAATCAGGGATTATTTAAGTTTTTCTTAGGGTTTAGGGAAACAAGAAGGGGCGATGCAGCTCTCACAGCTCCTGAGTCTAAGGGGCAAGGCCAGGGAGGGTAGCTGATGCCGGGGAGTTGCCAGGCAGAAGCTGTGTGTTTTTTGTTTGTTTTAAACTTGTTTTCCGGCCAGGCACCAGGACTCATCCCTATAATCCCAACACTTTGGGAGGCAGAAGTGGGAGTGTCACTTGAGCAGGAGTTGGAGACCAAGACCAGCCTGCACAGCTTAAGGAGATAACATCTCAAAAAAAAAAAAAAAAATTAGCGGGGCAATGGTGCATGCCTGTAGTCCCAGCTACTCAAGAGGCTGAGGCGGGAGGATCGCTTGAGCCCAGGAGTTGGAGGCTGCAGTGAGCTGCGATTGCTGCCGCATTCCATCCTGGGCTAGTGAGAGCCTAAGACAAAACTGCTTTCAGATGGCAGGCGAATTCCATTTATATGAAGGCTGTCACGTCCACTCATCCTATTAATCATTCATTTTCATAAAATAGAGTTTTGACCTCATGGACCTGACAAATGCTTTCCGGAGATGCCTGTAATATTTAGTGCACTCAGAGCATAGTAGATATTTCTGAAGACAGGTTCTTAATGAAATGAAAGAGTTTAACTTTGTGGGGAGATGTTACTCAAGTTGTCTTTGGCATGTTTATGGCTTTGCATTTCCGTGAAACATTTTGCCGTGGCCTCCATTCATCATCCTCATAGTCAGTCTTTAGATTCATAGACTATTTGAGCTGGAAAAGCCCTTAGCAGTCGTTTGAGACCCTCATTTTACCTGCGAAACGTCTATTCTGGGATTTTATTCCTCTGATTCTCTAGCATTTGACTTTAGATAGTATCCACACAAAACTGAATTCCTGTATGGTCCTGTACCCAGACATCAGTGCCTCCAAATCCTGGCTTCAAGGCGGCCGGCTGAGGGGGACTGAGTGCAGAGAGGATTCATTTAAGATTTCTTTTTTGAGACAGAGTCTCACTCTGTTACCCAGGCTGGAGTGCAGTGGCACAATCTCAGTTCACTGAAATCTCTGCCTCCTGGGTTCAAGCAATTCTTGGGCCTCAGTAGCTGGTATTATAGGTGTGCACCACGGTGCCCGGCTAACTTTTGTGTTTTCAGTAGAGACTAAAAGATCACCATCTCAGCCAGGCTCTATCTTGAATTCTTGACCTCAAGTGATCCACCTGCCTTGGCCTCCCAAAGTGCTGGGATTACAGGCGTGAGCCACCATGCCAGGCTCAAAAAAAATTCTTTTGTAGTTTTGGTCAGTGTTCATAGTATAGCTACATAAACACAGTAGCAATTTTTCTACTTGAAGTTTTTTTTTTTTCAATTCATCATATATAATCCTTTCTAGAAAGTGATGAGTGTAACCTACTGGGATATTTGAACTAACCATCTGCTCTGGGATGCTTTCGTTTTTGCATATAGTCATAAACTGAGAGATTCTGCATGAAAATCGCTTTGTGTCCCTCGACAAGTGTAGTCACAGTCGTGCAGATTCATACGTCTGTTCCCTCAGTATATCTGATGCTGTAAGCAAAAATACCCTAAATAATCACAACATTAGAACTTCATATACTCACATAAAGGCAAATATGAATTTTAACTCACCCATGCTGTAAAGCTGAATAACTTGGAAAAACACTGACTGCTTGGAAAATCACTGGAACAAATAATCCAGAAATCAATTTGCAAACTTGTAGAAGACCACAGGGTACTGGGTAATCATCCCACAGGACTGTGGAAAACGGCGCTTATCAGTGAATGTAATTTCCTTTTGTTGCAGAGAGACAGCCATGGTAGATGGGGGAGCAGTCAACAGAATCTATCCTGATCTAAGAAAGCTTGCGATTTTGCACCTCGTGTACTCATTAAGAAAATGTAGGTGAGGCTGGGTGCGGTGGCTCATGCCTGTAATCCTAGCATTTTGGGAGGCTGAGGCGGGCAGATAACTTGAACTCAAGAGTTTGAGGCCAGCCTGAGCAACAAAGTGAGACACCCCAACCCCTCCCCCCTCTTCTCCCCCTTCTCCCCCCCTCTTCTCCCCCTCCCCCCCCTTCTCCACCTCCCCCCTCTTCTCCCCCTCCCCCCTCTTCTCCCCCTCCCTCTTGCCCATCTCTACAAGAAACACAACAGTAGCTCCCGTAGTCCCAGCTGCTCAGGAGACGGATGAGAGGATGGCTTCGGCCTGGGAGGCAGAGGTTGTAGTGGCCCAAAGTGCACCACTGCACTCCAGCCTGGGGCGACAGACCCAGACTCTATCTCACCAAAAAAAAAAAAAACACCAAAAACAGAAAATGGAGGCAAGACTATTCCTGTTTGTTAGGGATACATTCACACTGAAGTTGGGGGCTCAGCCTTTTGCAACTTAAACACGCTGTGTGCGGAAGTGGCCTCTTTCCCCTTCCCAGCTCCTTTTCTGCCTGGATTCCTTGTTTTTTACAGTGGCATTCAGGTTCTCCTTGTTTATTTAATCTCCGTGTTCCTCGGTTTCCTAGAATCTAAGGTGGGGTAAGAACGGGACCCACTTCCCGGGGCTGTGAAGATTGAATGACATGATGCACGTGAAGGGCTAAGTTAAGGCCAGCACCAGCACCAGCACCATCGTCATCGTCACCGCGTGTTTAGTCCCTCCTTCTCCTGCCCACATCTAATTAAAGCTTATTTTATTATTTTATTAAATCTTATTTCTACGTCTTCGGTGGTGCTCACACACACTCTTACCCACTTCCCTGGCCACTCTGCTGGTTTAAACCATCTCGTTCCCTGGACTGTTGCAGTCGGTACCACGCTGGTTTCCCAACCCCATCGTGCCCGTCTTTTCTATCTTTCATTCTCCCGTCCGTTACAGTGCAGAGCTGAGCACGCTGCTCCCCTGCCTTTAGCCTGATGGGCTGTGCCTTTCTGAGTGCTCCCAGTATGCCTTTGCAGCCTAATTCCTAACCCTTCCCTCCACGTGTCCGAGATTCTTCTTAATTTCACATGGTTTCCTATATCTGGCTTTTACCCAATTTTTCTTCTACTTGAGATACTCTTATATCCTTCCTTGAAATATCTACATCTTATCCATCCTTTAAGGCCCAAATCAAGCATCACATGGGTCCCATAGCTTCCCTGACCTCTCCCGTGGATGCCGTTGCTCTGATTCCCCTGGCATCTTGTGTACTTCTCTTCTGATATTTACTCCTCTCTAAAGTCAGGTTCTAGCTTAGGTGTCATTTTGCCCTGACTGTGGGTGAGATGCTTTCTCTGCACTTTTCTCTGTCGTGGCATTTACACACTTGTGGCCTTCCTAGACTGTACTCGCCAAGGCCAGTGCCTTGCACATGGTAAATACTTAATAAACATGTGTTGAAGGATGTGTGAGCAGGACAAGGACTTTACTGATTGGAATATCGTAAGTTTAGAGTTACAGCCATTGGAACTCTACTGGGAGAGAATTGCAACCCAACTGTGGGAAGTGGAATGGGATGGCTGGCCTTGGGGACATACAGAATCAGTGTTTTCTCTGTGTGTCTCTCTGTGTGTCGGATTTGTTCTTAGCTATCACAGACCGACTGCTTCCACATGGCAAGGGAGCTGGGCACCCTGGCTCAGTATTCATTCCTCTCAGCTTCCCCACCTGAGAAGGAAGGTCTTTCTTAGCTTCTATTGGAAAGTGCTGGGGGGATGTGACCTCACCTAGGCCCTCGACCCTGCCTAGGGTTGATGAATGCGGGCATTGTGATTGGCAGCTCCTATTAGAACCACAAGGGACAGAGAAAGGGGGACCTGGTATTAAAGTGAAGCCAGGGGAATTAAATAGTGATGGTTTAACATAAACAGTGGCGGTTTACCATATTTACAGGCTTGCACAAAAATCCCTGAATTGTAAAAGACTGAATTACATGGACTCTGAATCATACCTCAAACAATCAGGAAAAAAGCCCCAGATGAAATCTTTTGACAAAAATAAGCATTTTTGTAGTCTTTATATTTGGGTATTCGTGTGTTCAGCAAACATTTACAGTGTGTCTAGTATGTGCTGGCACTGATCTAGGTTTACATTGTAGTGGGAAATCACACACACACACTCACACACACACATACACATTCACACACACATACACACACCACACACAGACACACACACACACTCACACACACACACTCACACACACACACACACAGGGTAAGAAGGTTGGATTTCATTCTAAATGTGATGGGAAATTCTGCAGGTTTAGGCGTGGACGGAGGCCATCCCTGGATGAGACCCCCTGGACTCCAAGGTCTTCTGCCTGGTGCTTTGCTGTGGTCAGCACACATCACACCTTGGAGGGAAGATGAGACTGTTTTAAGAGGTCTCTTGCCATGGATTCTAGAACCCTTATGTTCAGAATTTGGCAACCTTGTCCTAAAATAAAGTTTTCCTTGTGGGCTAACCCAGATCACGTTATGCTTTGCTTTAAGCCTATTTGCCCAGGGTTAGCAAAATTGCAAAATTTGAGGGCACAGTTTGAAGACTGCCCTCACTTCTAACACCAGCTGCAAGTGTCGGGGGTGCCCAGTACCACCCTCAGGTTTGATGGCGTTCTACAAGGTTTCCAGTAACTCAGTGGAAGCTGTAATATTCACCATTATCGTTTATTGCAGGGAAGTGACAGAGACTGAAATCAGCCAAAGGAAGGGACAGAGTCTGGAAGGGTTCTAAATGCGGAATTGTGCTGCCCTCTTTCCCTGTGGAGTGTGCGGACCCAATGCGGAATTGTGCTGCCCTCTTTCCCTGTGGAGTGTGCGGACCCTCCTGATACTGATATGTGACAAGATACACGCACTATTGACAAGCAGGGAAGCTCACCTGAACTTCATCATCCGGAGTTTTTACTGGGGCTTCATTACATATGCATGATTGATTGCCGTGCGATTGAACTCAGCCTTCAGCTTGACACAGAGCCCCCACTCTAAGGGCCATGGTGGGTCTTTCTAGCACGACCACCTCCCACCCTAAGACTACTGAGTATGGACAGCCCCACCCTACAATCTGAAGTGATCAGATGATCTCCTTAGGTGATCTGCCCGCCTCGGCCTCCCAAAGTGCTGGAATTACAGGCGTGAGCCATCACGCCTCGTCTACCGCTCACTATTTCTTTCTGTTTTCTTCTCAGTAGAAATGAAGGAGAAAGGATTGTCTGTGGCCACAAACTCTTTGCCAAAAGATAGGTCAGTGTTCAGAGCAGTAGCTCAAGAGAAATCTGGAACGTGCTGGCCCTGACCCCTCTCCATCTTTTCTCCAGACTTTCCAAGGGGAAGTTCCCAAAAGAAGGGTGAGGAGGGGCTGGGAGGAGTAGCTGGTTTTATGTGAAGCCTGTCCTATATGCCCTGAATTTTAAAATGGAGACAGCAGGTCCCTGGGGTGGGTCTGAGGCTGGGGATGCCTGCCTCATCAGAGCTGCAGGTTGGTTGGGGGGATGACGCCCGCATTAGGATTTCCACCGGAAGCTTCAAAACAGTTGCAGAATTGGGATGTGCAGCAAACAGGGGCCAGTCAGGACTTTGCCTGGATGTTGCGGCACTGAACAGTGGACCTGGGGAGCCCGCCTCGCTGCTGTCGGGGAACCCCGCCCCCGTGGGTTGTGGCTCTGTTGGCGGAACACCTGCAGCCTGACTCTCTCATCATGCATAAGCTTAGCGAGTCTGAGCCTTGACCCACCATTTGTTTCTTCCATCCGGTGCTGTTTTCCATGGTCAGCGCTCATACAGGCAGACCGTGTTCCATGTGTTCACTGAGTCTAAGGCAGGAACAGTAAAACTGACAGTTGTGAGAAGTTGGAGTGATTTTCCATAAACTGCGCTCGTTAATGTCCTGATTGGGGTTAATGGATTCAAGGGGGGCGGAGGGAGAGCGAAGCACTGAGATGGGTGAAGGAGGAATAATCAGAATTTGGCAACAGCTTGGTGGTGGGGCGTGAAGGGAAAGGATGATTTGTTGACAACCCCAAGATGATAAGCATCCCCAGAGAGACAGGGAAGTGGGGCAGAGAGAATGAGATTTGTCTCCTCTGACAAATTTGAGGCACTGCTGGGATATCTAAATGGAGCAACGGAAGAGGGCAGGAAACACAGGCTGGAACACCTTTGAAAGCAGACACCTCTGGGGGCAACTTTAATTTCCAGGCAAATAGGAGGTGCTGGGGTTTTCTAACTGAGCGGTGCCTGGCTGTTGCAATCACAGGGTGGTGGAGAAAGGAGAGAGACTGAGTGTGCACACCAGCAGGTGTGAGAGGTTCTGTCGTGTAGTAGGCCTGCAGTGACAGAGGTAAATTTTTGCATGGAATCCTCTAGACCTGCAGACATCTTGAGAGTAGCAAATGTGCGCCACATGGCTCAGAGGACCTGCCTTCCCATCCCGGTCATCGTAGATTTGATATTTATTATGATCATTTTCTGGCAGATGGAGTCAAGTGCCTTGAGGAAGATGTGACTTTTTCTAATTCGTGCAAAGTTACAGCATGAGCTAACAGGGGCTCTGGGGTGCTCGTCAGTCTATTTTTCAAAAGTCTTGGTCGATAAAGCCTGCAAATTTTCCAATCCCTTCTGATCTTGCAACATTATGTGAGGAATCAGTCAAACAACCTGGCTCCCCAAAGGCCCTGTAATAATTTGTAAGTGGGGTGCGTTAATGTTGGCACTTAGCATCTTGCAGGCTCTGTGTGTGATTGTGGGGTACACTGCGAAGGTGAATTGGCACCATTTCATGGAAAGTTGTTTAGCATGTGAAGTAAACATGGTAAAGAGCCACAAGCGTGCCTTTCCTTTCACTAGGTAATTCTACTTGCAAAGATACAGATTATGAACAACGATGCTTTTCCTTACAGCGTCACTCACAATAGTGGCAGAGAAGGAACAAGGTCCCAGCCAGCCGTGCTGCAGCACTTCCTCCCCTCCCCCAGGGCTTGGCAGGTGGTCCCTCTTTTCATCCTGAAACAAAACTTAGATCCCCTGGGCCTTGCACAGGGAAGGTATTTGGGTCGTAGGTGACGTTTTTAGTAAACCAAAACTGCCAAAACCATTCGCAAAACGCTCTTCTCCGGCGTTTGAAGCCTTTGTAAGCACACAACCCAGATCCATCCACATTTTCCCTCTGGGTAACGTCCTCTTGTCAGCGTGCACCTTTCCTTATCCTCTTGCAAATGAAAATCTAGGTCTTTTTTTTAAACTTAAATTCTTGTAAGGTGGAGTTTTCATCTGCTATTCCTTAGCCGGGTGTGGAAGGCCCTGGGGAGGTTGATCAGATGAATTTCTGTACTAAGAATTACAATAATTTGAGCTCTTATTTAAGGGTTAGCAGAAACAACTGGTACTTTCACAAGCTGGAAAGAGGCCAGTGTCAGACATGACAAACACGACAATAGAAAGGGAAGGTAAAATGCAGTTCCTGTGAGGCTCAGCAATCACAAAACAGAAGGAAGAGCTTGGATGCTTAGAGGTTCTGTGTCTCACATATATATGCATGTGTGTAGTGTGTGAGCAGATATATATGGGTTCATTCTCCAGAGACGCTGTCTCTCACATATATACATGTGCATTCGTATATGTATGTACATGTATATGTAATCATTCTGCTTGCAAGGAAATTAGACCCTGAGAGTTCACGAATGTCTAATCTCTTATTACTCCTGCCCTCGTGTTGTGT